AGGAGGCAGCAGGGAAGCCACTCCCTCAGGATGGATCATCTCGTCCTCCGACTCAGCTGAAGCTTCTGCAAGGTACAGATTGGGTCGGGGCAGGGAGGGAGTGAAGGGCTCAGCATATGGGAATTATGTGGAGGAGAGCAGGATATCAAGCACAATCAAGATACAGAGATACATACCAAATGCAGCATCGCACAGAAAAAAAAAACACCCTAGGATTAAGCTCTACCTCATCTAAATGGTAGCTTAATTTGTAAACTCTTCCTGTTGGCAGGAATCCTTTTCTAACAAGACAGTCAAATTACACTTCCCTTTCTCTGACAAGGGAAAACAGTAACTCATTTGGTTCCATAAAATACCAAAGCAAATGAGTAGCAGTCTCAGCTTTAGTTATTCCTGAAATTGCCTACTTAGATTGGCCTAGCTACTTGGTGACAGGGATGAGAAGGAAGAACTTGTTAGAAGTGACAATCTGGGTTTACCTTCAAGTTCTGCAGCTTCTCGAGCTTCACGTTCCAGACGCTGCCTAAGTAACTCCTGTTGCTTTTCCAGATACTGCTTTATGAAACTGTTGTTGCTCATTTCCTCACCAATCTGTGTAGAAGAAATAGAAAAAGAAATTCTAGGAAAGCAAACCATGAAAATGCAAGGAAGAAAATTCCATGGAGCAAAATCTAGCCCATAGAGCTGGACTTAGGAAAATAACTGTTGGAAGGTCCTTTTCTAAACTACTCTTTATTAAGGATCAGAATAAACAGTCCTGTGAGCTGGGCACTGATTGTGGTGCACATCTATAATCCCAGATACTCAGTAAACTGAGACAGGGGGATAGCAAGGTTGAGGTCAGCCTAGGCAATTGAGTGAGACCCTGTCTCAAAATAAAATAGCCAGAGTGGTGCCATATGCCTGTAAACCCAGCACTTGGGAGACTAAGGCAGAAAGATTGCTTTGCGTTCCAGGTTAGCCTGGGCAATATAAGGAGTTCAAGGCCAGCCTAAACTACATAGCAAGAGCCTGTCTCAAAACACCACAATAAATAAATAAAATAAAATGTGCCAAGGGTGTAGCTCAGTAGTATTATGCTTGCCTATCACGTGCAAGGTTCTAGGTTTAATCCTTAGTACTGCAAAAAATTAAATAAAAACTAAATAGCACAACAAAGTGACAGAAAATTGCAAAAAGAGGAGGAACTATACATTTTTAAAATATTCAGTTCCCAACCAAAGTGATGTTGGTATACAAATAACTTAAAAAGAGATCAAATTTCTGAGAATGCCTTTTTTTGGTGTGGTGCTGAAGACAGAACACGGGGCCTCATATGTAGTAAGCATGCTCTCTACCAGTATTGCCAGTCGAAATTATGCCTTTACGGATGTTGAGGGCAATCCGGCTGATCTGGCCAGCTAGGCGGGTGTCCCCTTCCTCCCTCACCGCTCCATGTGCATCCTTCCTGAAGCTGTGTGCTCAGTCCAAGAGGACGACCACTCAGACAGAGGAGGACTGTTTCCACAGTCAAGGGTATACAAGTAGCTTTGCTCCCCTTATTGTCCATCAAACAAGTTCTCAAGGTCCAAATTATGTCTTAAAATCTTTTGGATAATCTAGGACATTATCTAGACATAATCTTCAAAAAATCCTTGGTAATTAAATTTTAAATTCAGGGGCATATCACTTTCCCATTTTCCTGTAGCACAGATTCCCATGTCCCTCTTTTTTCAGTTTTCTCTAAGTCCTCCTCCCTATTGCTTAGCAACTCCTATTAGAACTCCAGAAAAAAGCTAAGAAACCTAAATAAATACTTCCTGTGGTATTAATGACATTCCCTAAGCATAGTAAATGTTATGTTTCTCCTAAAGCAGAAACAAGTCTCGTTATTCAATGGACACTGATGATGTTTGAGTTGCATATATTAAAGAATAAGCATGTTTGCTGCTAAATTCCTATTAATAAAGAATAAAACTCCAAAGATTAAAATGCAATTAGCAAAAGGAATATAATTGTAAGCTGATTAGTTTATGCAGTTTCTTATGCTTGTTAAATTACTTAAGGAAACCTCTGAAAGCTGGCTACACTGTAATACTTACATCTTAATGAGGTGGTAACAGGGGAGTAGGAAAGCTCTCGTTTTTCACAGTATCCTGGGACTTCATTTAGTATGGGGCTGTACACCATTACAATAACACAGACTTGGGTTTCTCCTTATATTATGTCACACGTTATTATAAGGTGCTTTCAAAAGCTGAAAGGATCCTCAAAAGATAGTGCGGTCTAAATCAGTTGTGCCTGTAATCTCAGAGCTCTGAAAGGCTGAGGCAGGAAGATCACACATTTGAGCACAGCCTGGCCAATTTAGTGAGACTATGCCTCAAAATAAAAATATTAAAAAAGGGCTGAGGATGAGCTCAGTGTAATGGTCCTGGGTTCAGTCTTCAGCAGTGGGTGTGGGGGGAGATTGTGCAGTCAAAATTTTTTTATTTTGTTTTTTCAGAAAGGGTCTTGCTATGTAGTTCAGGCTCGCCTCAAACTTACAGCGATCCTCCTGCCTCAGCCTTCCAGCTGCTCGATTACTGGCATGCATTACTACACCCAGCTCAGTCTAAAAATTTTCTTTTCTTTTTATCTGTGGGATAATTTCTTCAAAAGAAATACACAGCAACTCAACATATAAAGCAGATAAAAGTAGATCTAGTCTAGTAATTTAAGAGGAATATGAACCTTGTCTACTTCAGAAGGATTAACCTTCCCTAAGAAGCCCATAAAGCAGCTTTACAAAACCCCAGAGCGGCTATAAAACTATAGATCTAATCCAACTGTTTCTTATATTACAGATAAGAAAACCAAGGCTTCCAAAAGTTAAGTATCTTGTCCTACCTAAGTAACAGAGCTATTAGAGATGTTTAAGAGTAACTAGCTGGGAGCTGGGGATTTAGCTCAGTGGTTCTGGTGCCTGTCTTGAAAGTGCAAGGTCCCGAGTTTGATCCCCAGTACCAAAAAAAAAAAAAAAAGAGTAACTGAAAACCCAGGAGTGATGGCACATTCCTATAATCTCAGCACTCCTGAGAGGCCGAGACAGGTGGATGGCAAGTTCAAGCTCAGCCTGAATAACTTAATAAAACACTATCTCAAAACTAAAAACAAAAACTAAGGCCAGGGATATAGCTCAGTGTAACAGTTCTATGTTCAATCCATAGCTTTAAAAAAAAAAAAAACCAAACAAAAATCCCTGGCATGAAGGCACATGAAAGTCTGTAATCCCAGCTACATGGGAGGCTGAGGCAGGAGTATCACTGCAGATAGTAGTTAGTACCAGGAATGGTGGGTCATTTAAAAAGAACTGAATTAGGGCTGGGGATATACTTCAGTGGTAGAGCACTTGCATGTGTGAGGCCCTGGGTTAATCTTGGAAAATCTGTATCAACAAGAGTTCTTCTTGATCAGCAACTATTTTCCTATACTGTCCTATTGCAACCTACTTCGTAACCATATTTAAAGATACTTACATCCAAAAATATCAACTACTTTTCCCAAGTCAACAGCAAATGACTTCAGATCCCTGTACTACACTTAATCAGAACTATACTTTTTGGTGTGTACCATTTCAAGCAGTATCAGAAATAGCTCCTCTGAGCTGCTTTTTATCTCATGCTCTTATGTAAAACTGATTAGAATTCAACTGTCATAGGTAAGAACATTACCAACCAAAAGAATGTAGGAAAATATCTGTGAGGAATTAAGGATCAAATATACAACACTATGTCATTCCATGTATCTTTATTTCCAAACAGCCCATTCCATGTAACAAACCTTTCTTACCTGGGAATTTGGCTGGAATGCAGCATGGGGTGTTGAGTGTTTCTGTAAATTTTCAAGCATTAGAGCCTGGTATGGAGAAGGGCAAAAGTCAGAAACCAGGAGAAAAAGAAGAAATCAAACTTTCAGCCCTTGCATCACGTCTTCATTAAACTCACTGACTTAAATATACACTTAAACTATACTTCTCTTACACAGCCCTAAAAGCACTTTACTGTTCTCATTCATCTTCCGAAGACTTAAAGGTAGCCATGGTTACCCTCCTAAATGTACACATGAAAATACAGCCATACAGAGAATCAGTGACCTGGCTATGTCATAAAATAAGTGGTAACAGAATCAGTACTACAATCTCTATTATCTTCTATGCTTTTTTTTTTTTTGGTACTGGGGATCGAACTCGGGACCTTGAGCTTTCGAGGCAGGTGGTGGAACCACTGAGCTAAATCCCCAGCCCTATCTTCTATACTTTTAACCAGAACCTCTTCTATATATGGCCATACAGGTAAAATTGCTTCTAATACTCAAACTTCAAATACATGAAACTACGAAACTAACGTGGGGCTGCTTGCCTGGGCCTGAATGAATTACTTGTTCAGTTACCTAGGAATAGAACTACTTAAGGGAACCTGTATAATTCAGAATGACACAGATTTTTCAAATTTATAAAAATTTCGAAGAGCTACAGAAAACCACAGACCCTGTAAGCTGCGGTCTGACCTAATCCACACCCACATAAAATCATCAGCTTCTGTATAAGCAATAGTCTGCCAACTCTTGAGCCAAACTAACTCTAATCAGTATATCAAGATATCCTCGTTTTCCATTTTCAAACCTATATACACCAATCCACCTATCTCATGACAAGCCCAACCCCATCTACTTAAACGGATTTAAAATCCCTAACGTCCACCAACGAGCCTCAACTCTCTCACCTAGTCATCATTTTTATCCATTCAAATTGCTTCTGGATTTCCTATAGACACCCTTATTTCACCAAGTTCCGTCAAATAAGGTCTCACCTGTTAATCTAATCAAGTAGACATTCTTACCCTACCCCAATCCTATTCTTGCAGATACAGATACCAACCCAATCCACCCTCCGCCCAACCGTGCCCCTAACACGGACCCAGCCCAACTCGCCCCCCTCAGGCCAGCAATGTTAGTGGTTGTAGTGGGATTTAACTCCTTCTGCAGCGCATGCGCCGGAACCACAGACACAAACAAGGAGGGGGTGGGGGAAGGAGGAAGGAGCTTAAGACACTCCGGGAGAGTAGCGCGCACCCTCCCATTTTAGGCTTGCGCTGCAGCCGTTAAGGCGGGAACCGGCACGATCTCTACTACAGCGCGAGCCTCACCAACCACCCTGCGCGCGGAGCTGCAGGCTTGCGCTGGCGGCCTGAGAGAGCTCGCGCCGAGCCCGGACACTGCGCCTGCGCCGCAGTGGAGACTCGTCTCTACCGGGTCCGCTCCCCACCGATAACCCGGCAATGCCGACTCCTCACCCCTTTGAGCCGCTTGACCAGGGTGCTCTTCTGCCCGCTCTTGGCCAGGCCTCGCTGCTCCAGTGCGGCCTTCAGGTCGGTCACCCGCAGCGCCTGAAGAGGCTTCCCGTCCAGAGTCACCTCCTCCAGCTCCGCCATCTTGCGTGAGGTACTCGGGTCCGTCCCGACGGCTTCGGGCATCTTCGGTAATTTCCGCCAACGCCCTTGAACGTACTGAGCTGACCCCGCCCACTGCTATAGCCTACTCCTCGATTACCACTCAGAACTCCCGGGTTCCTCCGAAATTGTTCGGGTGTTTCCGTGGCCGCATCGCCACCAATACGTTCTTTCCATCCGCCCTGCAGCTCCCCCTTTTTCGCCTTGTTTTCAGACTCGGTTATTTTCGTCTTGCCGAGGCTTTGACTCGAACCTATTCGGAATTCCTCGCCTCTAGTATAACCATAATCGGTGATATTCGGCTATCTCCGGACCTGGAGCCGAGGTGCTGGGGCGCTGGGGTGTTTGGGACTAGTCCGAGACCGGAAGTACGTGGGCTGTCGGCTGGCTCTGTTTAGGATTTTCAGGAAATATGAAAGCTGCGGCGATCGTTGGAGTAGAAAGGCTCTTGTGAGGCTCTCCGAGTGCTCTCTGAGAGGAAAAGGGAGGTAAGAGGGGAAGAAGTAACTCCTTGGGTTGGGTCAGACTTGGTGTTTTCCAGTTACCTTTGTGTAGGGCAAGCCTCCCGCTCTCTTAGGGAAACAGCTGTGGTTCCTTATCTTCTGAATAAGGGAATATGTTGTTCTTTTGGAGTATGGGAATAAAAGCCTCGTGGCCCCCAAAGTGGACAAGAAGGAGCAGCCTTGAGCTTGCGGTGGAAGCCACGTGGCAAAACTGGAAAACTTTCTGAATAAAAGAATAAAGTTTCTTTAGGAGGAAGGAACAGTCGCCTGTAGAGCCATTCTGGAAACGGCAGCCACACTGAACTGTTTTGGCCCTTAAGGTGATATTGTTTAGGGGTTCCTTTCTTTGTCACCACAAACCTTTCAACTTGCAGCGGAAGAAACAGTACTATGTTACAAATATTTTAATATTTTCACTGTTAAACATTCAGACTATAGGGCTGAAAACTTCAAAGTGGTTGGCCTTTTAGTTGCATTCATCATGCAAAATCAATGGGAGAACATCTGTAGGTGTCACATAAACATTAAGGAAAGTTATTCAAAGACACAAATGGTCACACATCGCTATATAACACTTGTTGGACCTTGATGTCAGTAAACCAACGGGATTTTTTTCAGAGCCTTGAAAATTTGGCTTCTCGTTTCTTTGTTAGCTTATTTGGGGCAAGACTCTCACCATGCTCTTTAGTGTTTCCTTGTTTTACAGGAAATATTGAGGGGGTTTAAGGGTGCACATGCAAATTGCAAAGAAGGCTGTTTCATCATATATGATGTTTTTTATTTTTACAGAAGATTTTTACTGAAGATTTTTATTGAACCCAGGGTCTTTGCACTGAGCTTAGCTTACATCCCCAGCTCTTTTTAAAATTTATTTATTTTTGTTAATTTTGAGAAAAGGTCTTGCTGAGTTGCCCATGCTGGGCTTGAACTTGTGATCCTTCTGCCTTAGCTTTCCAGAGTGCTGGATTACAGGCATATGCCACTATGCTGGGCTATATTTCTTCTCTTTCCTCCTTGCCTCCCTCCCCTCTTTTTTAGAGTTTATAGCTTTGGAACAATTAGCATTTAGTCCCTGATGGCTGCATCTAAGAATTTTCTAAAAATACACTTTTTCATTTTAGAGAAGATAATGATGAATCAACATTATTTTTTTCTCTCTACTCAAGTTGGAACACAGGGGTAGGAAGGAGGAAAAAAAAAGCAAGAAATGTTAGACATTGTCTTTCAGTGTTGCCCACGCAGGGTTGATTGTTATTTTTATTTTTATTTATTTACTTTTTTTGGTACTGGGGCTCAAACTCAGGTCCTTCTGCTTTCGAGGCAGGCGGGGAATGACTGAGCTAAATCCCCAGCCCTATTGGTTATTTTTAGATTCCTTATAAGAAAAGTGGAAAGAGGCAGTGGTTGTGGAGGATAATGGGTTTGAAAAAGAAAAGGGACTGACAAATATGAAATGTTTCTTGGGTGACTTTAATGGGATAATGATTGAAATAAAGGATTTTCTTGCATTTCTGTGAATCGAATCGGTGAAAAGTCATCTTTGTAGTTGTTGACTGAGCGCAAAAAGATTTGTAAGTTGTACTTCAGTTGCTCTGTCAGGAGAGAGTATAACAATGCCTTTATATTTCAGGATGCCACTGGAATCATCTTCCTCTTCAGTTCCACTATCCTTCCCTTCTCTGTTACCCCCAGTACCAGACACTAGTCCCAGTTCTTCCCTTCCTCCAATGTCTTACATCACTTCCCAGGAGATGAAGTGTATTCTTCACTGGTTTGCCAGTTGGTCAGGTCCTCAGCGTGAACGTTTTCTCCAAGACTTGGTAGCTAAAGCAGTGCCAGGAAAATTACAGCCACTGCTGGATAGTCTGGAGCAGCTTAGTGTATCTGGACCAAACCGACCACCTTGTATCTTTGAGTGCCAGCTACGTCTTTGGGATCAGTGGTTTCGAGGTTGGGCTGAGCAGGAGCGTAATGAATTTGTGAGACAGCTGGAGGTCAGTGACCCAGACTTCGTGGGAAAATTTTACCAAGCAGTGGCTGCTACAGCTGGTAAAGACTGATAGGCATTCAAATTCAAGAATAAGGGCCAGGGATTAAGCTCAGTGGTTTCGCTGCCTGCTGCGCAAGCTCAAGGACCTGAGTTCGATCCCCGGTACCAAAAGAAAAGAAAACAAATTCAAGAATAAAACCACAGCTGATGGAGCCAAGGCCATGACTCTACAGTGCGAACTCAGTTCATGTACGTCAAATATTTGGGTGTGTTATCCCAGTGAGCTGCCTGAACTTGGTGGTAAACACAGACATATTTATTTCAAATTTATCAGCATGTCAGTTGGACTCAGTATAAATGTTGTCCATCTAAGCAAATCCAGATCATGTCAGTCTCCTAGTTTGGTTTCCTAGAGATGTCAAAATCTCAAGAATTTAATGACTTCTTTTGCAACTGTAACCAAAAAGAAACTATATGTTATAACTCTCACCTACTGCTGGCCTAGGTATAGAAGAACTCTCCTCCAGAAACAGGAAAAAGTAATAAAAGGCATTTAAAAAAAATTTTATTGGTACATTTTACGTATATAATATAATGACATTCATCATTGGAAATTTGCACCATTACATAATCTCTTCATTCTTATTTTTTTCCTCATTCCCCAGCCCTCTCTTCAACCCCTCCATCTTTCCCTATTTACAAAGATTGTTTCCATTTTTTCATTTTCTCATATTCCATAATAAAAGGCATTTTTATCATTAAGCTGGATTCTGGTTTTATCACCCTTAGCCAGTGTCAAGCATAATTTTGTGACAATCTCAGTCCAGTTATGATTTAGTAAAAATATGGAAAAATCAGGAGTGATTTGATGGGTTGACTAAATAGCAGTGAAAAATTACCAAACAGCAGTGTCCTCTTTTTTTTTTTTTTTTTTTTGTTATACTAGAGATTGAACTCAGGCCCTTGCATGTTCTAGGTAAGCCCTCTACCACTGAGCTACATACCCAGCCCTTTTTATTTGGAAAGAAGGGTTCTCTAAGTCGACCTGGGTAGCCTTGAACTTCTGATTCTCTTGCCTTAGCCTCTCAAGTGGCTGGGATTATAGGTGTGTGCTACTTCTAAAACATGATAGCTTTGGAGCTAGTAGCACATGTTCCTGTTCTGTTTGTATTGGAAAACAATATGAAAATAAGTGACACTTTACAAATTAACAGTTTATTTTTTGTACCAAACCAAAATATATGGTCATATAATCTTACAATCATGATGTTATATTTTAGCCATACGACTTTCCAAACCATTTTTTTTTCTTTTTCCTTTCCAAGGGTAGTATAGAGTTGATGTCCTGGGAAAGAGGCCTTCTGAAGAAAGTAGAACTTACATTGTATACACATTAGATTTTCCATTCAGTTGTCTCAAAAAGTAATCCTACTCCGTGTCATGTTTTAGGTAACATCATGCTTCCTTTATTCTTCCAATTCAGCCCCTTGTGGCATGTATCTGGTGATGGTGAGAGGTAGATGGTGCCACCCGAAGAGTAGCTTGTTTTTGATAGGCCACAGTTCCCAGTGTACCCACTAGAATTAGCAGCAGTAGGTAGAGTCCCATGGACAGAAATAGGTGGGTCATGGAGGGATTATGATCGGAGGTAACCAGCAACCTAGGAGCATAGAAGGCATTACTGGGCCTGGAATACCTAGGCTGAGGAGGTGAAGGATACAGATAATTATAGGTATATATAATGAAAAAAGGTATATATCATGAAACCTTGCTTCATCTAATCATTAAGTAGCAGAACAGGAATATAGGACCTGAAAGTAGAAACAAGATGAAGATCCAAGTCCTCCAGCAACTTAAATTGTTGAAAGTTGTTATTTTGGTAATGAAATTGGCTTGAGGGGTGTCATTATGGTGCTGGGGTAGCTAGACATGATCTCAGTACTGCTTAAGGAAGGAGCACTAGGATCCCTAAATCCTAGAGTTGGGGGAGCTCTATTACTGTGTTTGAGGAGGGTATCATATAATTGTGGGCCCAAGGTGATCAAATTAGGGATATTTTCTCTAATAAGTACAAATTTTTTTTTCTTGGTACTGGAGATCGAACTCGGGTCCTTGTGCTTGTGAGGCAAATAAGTACAAATTTAAATATCTGGATTCTGGGGATTCAAAAGAAAATTGCTTGGGATATTGGCTTACTTGCTGTATTCTGTGGTGAAGCTGGTTTCTCCATGATGCACTTCTAGAGGTTTCTCCTTGAGAGTCAGGGACAGGGCCTTGTACAGCATGGCAACCAAAGGCCCTTGGCAGCCAGGGGACTTCCACATATGCACAGTGAACATCAAATTAGTGGTAATAGATGGACTGTGGAAATAGCACCTAAAGAGACATTTGGACCTCTTAATGGAAGAATAGTCCTTGGAAGAGTATATCTCATGAAGCAGGTGCAGGCTAAAGAGTCGGGACAGAAAGTCTTTAGAGGTGAGTTATGAAATGAGCGTTCTCCATGACCCATTTTATAATTACTCAGCCTGAGTTACCCTTTTACCTGCCAATGCCGCTTCTGTTCACCAGAGCCTGCAGGACTGCTTCAGCCAGCTCTTCTCTCTGTCCCTTGCCCAGTGAGTAGCCTGGGGGCCCAGCTAATCCTAAAGAAAGCTGGAAGAGCAGGTCTTGTGTTGAAAGACTCACAGGTGGAGAAGTAACTGCATTGGTACCTTCACTAGTCTGACACAACCGACCTTGGGGACAGTAGAGGAGACCAAAGTATCCAGGTATCTGCAAGGAACATATATAGCAGAGTTTAGCTGCACCATCAATTACCAGCTCAATCTTTCCTTTGAAGGAAAAACTGTACACTCTAGGTCAAAGTCATGGGCCCAGTAGGTACTTAGTAAAAAAATGAACATTACAACAGGTTGAATAGTAGCATGGTGCAAATATTTCCCAGTTTCCTTTTGCCAGTGCAGCTCAACCATTCCTCTTACAATCTCCACCTTAATATGCTTTCCTGGAAGGCATGGGATCCAAGGTGATCCCTCCACCTGCACCATATATGCTTCCCTCTGTGTGCATTGATGTAAGTAGCAACGACCAGTCAGCTCTGCTTCCTTGCGATGTGGGATGTGAGAAGATTGGCTGGTTTTGTTCCCTAGGAGTGGTTGTGAAGTAAGGTTGGCAAGGAAGCAACGGCTCTGGGAATGGTAGATCTCCCCATGGGGATTTTCCTCTCCAGCTGGGAGTCCATTTTCCTTCTTCCAGCATTCACTCTGAAGGGCAAGGCAGAAAGCAGAATAGTGTTTGTCTTGGTGCCTTAGAAGTTTATTTCCAGCCCCACTCAGTTCCATTTCTGCTCACTAGTCTACTCACCCCATTGGCTAAGGGTTTATACATGCGGCAGCCTTCCAGCATGGGGTCTGAGGAGCAGCTTCCCTTGTCCAAGTGCAGGTAATGGCATCCCAGCCCACTGTGTAGAAGGGGTGGTAGAGTGACACTAGGATCACTGATAGCTGTGCAGTCCCCCAACCACTCAGCACACATACCTGCCAGTACAGAAGAAGTCTGAAGAATCAGTCCCACATGTAGTCACCAGGCCAAATTCTGTGCCAGCTCCTACTTGAGAGGAAGAGAAAGGGAGCCCTCAAAAAATAAGCCCCAGCTGGGTGTGCTGGCCCATGCCTATAATCCCAGCATTGTGGGAGAGTAATGCAGGAGGGTCACAAATTTAAGCTCACCCTGGGCAATTTAGTGACTTAGTAAGACCCTGTTTTAAAATTAAAGACTAGATGTAGTGTTGCATGCCTGTAATCCCAGAACTCAGGTGGCTGAGTTCAAGAGGATCACTGTGAGTTTGAGGCCAGCCTGGACTATGTAGTTCAAGCCCAGTCTGAACTACATAGCAAGACCCTGTCTCTAAAAACAAAAGAAGAAAGGTCTGGGGATGTAGCTTAGTGTGAAAGCCCTGAGTTTAAAAATCCCTAGTACTGGGCTGGGGATTTAGCTCGGTGGTGCCATGCCTACCTCACTGTACAAGGTCCAGAGCTCGATCCCTGGTACCAGAAAAAAAAAAAAAAATCCCCAGTATTGCCAGAAAGAAAAGAAAGAAAGCCCCAAGCCAGAAATGGTGGTGCACACCTATGATCCCAGCACTTGGGAGACTGAGGCAGAAGGATCACAAATTTTATTTTATTTATTTATTTATTTATTTATTTTTGGTACTGGGGATTGAACTCAGGACCTTGCGCTTTCGAGGCAGGCGCCTACAGATTTTAAATTTGAAGCCAGCCTGGGCTATGGAGCAAGTTCAGACCAGCCTAGAATATGTAGTGAGACTCTGTGTTAAAAAAAAAAAAAAAAAAAGCCAAGGTAGCCAGACAGGCATCAAGGCACATGCTTGTAATACCAGCACTGCATTCTAGGAGGCTGACTGAGGCAGGAGGACCACAAATTTGAGACCAGCCTCTTATGCTTATAGCTTGCATTTCTCCTCAGTACTAGATACAGTAATCCCTTCTAACCTACTGTATCTCACTTGCCCACAAAGCTGACTTGGGTCGTGAGTGCGCCTCTGAAGATCTCCCTCATTTCTCACCATGGCCCCACAACAGCTCCTCTGAAGCACTGTGGTTGACCTGATACCAGCCTGAATCTTTGAAGGCAGCAAGAGTGATTGGGTCAAGTCGAGTTCGCCGGGCACCGTCAAAAGTAGCAGCCATTATTGAGCCCTGGAGCAGTCTGGCTTCCCAGTGTGAGGACAAAGGGCCCTGTTGGAGGAGGTAGCAATTACCAGGTTGCTATCTGGTTACTCCCTTTTTCTTCCATCACCCCAAGGCATTATTATTCTCACCTCTTCTTCCAAAGGAACACCCGGGAAATCCCCTAGCACCCCCAAGTGTTTGGCCAGGCTGTGGCTAACAGTTGGGGTGGTGAGAAGCAGCTGTCCCCACTTATCTCGCCTTGTCACTTGTTGCCTTGTAGAACAATTCTCTCTAACTGAGTAGATAAAGAGGAGAGAAGGCAATTCGAGGAGAGGAAACTTAGGAAGGGTGAAGTAGAACTGGAAGGAGGGAGGTCATGAGGTAATGAATCCCCTCTGGTTGACTTGGTGGGATTTCCTCTCTCCCATTCCTCCCACTTACCACTGAGTCCTGAAGGGCAATCCTGCCACTTCTTGAAGAGCTGTCCAGAGAAACCCAGGGCATGAAACAATTCATGTAGTGTGGCCTAAGGACAAATGACTGCTGAGTGAGGAGGGCTGGATTTGGAGCAGGATTGGGTGACTGGTCCCTCTGCCCAATCAACAATTCTCAGTGCTTGAGACACTTTCTCTTCCCTGCCCGGGAAGCTGAGTAGCCCTGCCCCCACCTGCTTGCTTCTCCCCATTCATCATGCAGCAGTCACCATGACGATGTCATCATGGCTGAGGCTGGGGCTGGTGAGATGCTGGGCACAGTAAACAATGGTGCCAGCAAGGGGCCTGTCTTCTGAGTCCAGCTGGCAATAGGCAGCATAGGCTATGACGAAGCGCTGCAGAGAGAGGGCCAGGAGAGGGCAAGGTGGGAAGGAG